ACTCGGTGACATGCGCACCTACTTTGCACGTATTGACGACCTCCTTGCACAAGAGCAAATGCCGCCCGAGTACGCCAACTACCGATCGCAGATCTACTGCAGCGACTGCGAGCGCAAGTCGGAGACCAAATTTCACTTTGTCTACCACAAGGTATTGTAGTACAACAGCCCTTCGATCCACACGAAATAACGCGTCGCGTAGTGCCAATACGAAGAATGCAAGTCGTACAATACCAAGGTGCTCAAGAACATTCAGCTTCCACCGGACGCGGCGCCGCCCGCCGCACCGACCCCTCTGTTGCGGGCGTCGGGTGGCACGCCAACGGTACGCCGACCGTCGACGACGACGTCGAGCAACATCACTGCGTCCGTGCGTCGGAATTCGACGCCGGGGCCCACGCGCAACTAGGCCACGTATGTACCCGCGAGAGAAGAATAGGATAGGAAGTAACCATGCGCTGAGCGCTTAATGCGATGCGCAGGTTTGATTTGCACAAATCTGAAGTTATTACACGAAACAATATTAGTGTCCTCATGTCCGACGCGGCAACCGACGAGATGTCTCGCTGCCACGTCACGCGAATGGGTGCCACCGCGTTGACCACCCACATGACTCGTCCAGAGCGACCCGTCCTCGGCCACTCGATCGCACCACCATGGCCATGATGACTCCTACCAATGGTCTCCCATCTTCTACTACCGTGTCGACGCAGGTGGGTACGCATGGTCAGCGAGGTCAACATGCATCACATCGCCCGGACGCAATGACATGGCGAGAGCGATGGCGCTTCATCCTCTTCCTGGCTTCCATTTGCGTGGTGCTACTAGATAGTAATGGACCATCTTCCTGACGCCGCTTCATCGACGCATGTAGCATCAAGCGTCGGGACATGTCATCCATATGAAGTGTGTCGTTTGGCGCGTCGCTCCATCACGCCCACGATAGCATACAAATCGCTAGATCATTTTTTTTAAGCCAACGCTCGGCCCCAAAACACCCAACTCGATTGGGAACATTAGAGCGTTATCATCGCATTCTAACAGCGACCACGAAGCATGATGATCCCGCTGCGCGAGTTCTACAGCCTCCTCCTCCGGGGCTGGCACAGCGTCGCCTCGTACCTCACGTCGCACTTTTACGCGCTCAAGATGCGGCCGGTCTCGGGCTTTGACCCGTCGGGCTTTATGTTTATGCTCGCCTTTCTCTGCTTGACGATCGGGCTCTTCCTCGCGGCGCTCGACCAGACGCAGAAGCGCCGCCTCTCGTCGTACTTGCAAGAGCACCCGCTCAACCCCGACTTTAACCGGCTCGAGCGCCGCCTCAGCCACGTCTCCAAGTACGTGACCGACAAGGCCATAGACCACTCGGCGCGCGGCGGCTTTGTCGTCGAGATGCTCAGCTTCAACTACCTCTCCCGCCTCGGCTTCACGGTCGCCATCTTTGGCCTCACGTCATACTTTAACGCGCTTGCGGCCGTCGTCGCCGGGTAGGCCATTCGTGTGTACGGGGACTTGAAGGCGCGTCTAGGTGGCGCACGCCGCACGTGGTCATTTTGACGCTGGACCGCCGCGACAGTGGCGAGAAAACGCTGCCGGACCTCGGCCACGACCTCTTCAAGTTTGTCATGAGCAAGATTTACGGCCAAACGACGTACATTGACTGGTTTGACCTCCCGGACGAGTTCATTGCGTTCGTTGGTTCGATCATTGCCGTGCTCTTTGTCGTACACCCGCGCGTACGTGCCTCTTCTCTCTCTACCCGATCATTTCCTGATGTTATCTCTGTAGCGTCTCCTCATCATCCGCCGCTTCACTGCGATTTACGCTTGGATCAACCTCCTCCGCGGCTTTTGCGTTGCCGTCACGTCGCTGCCGGATGCGAGCCCGCAGTGCATTTCGCAATTTGAGACGGCCAAAGGCGCGTACAAGTCGCAGCCCATTTTTCCCAAGTACGACAACGCGTCTTCGTGCTCGTTGAGCATAATCTAGGGCCGTCTACCGCGCTCTCAAGGTGCTGCTCCGGCCCTCGCACCACATTACGTGTGGCGACATGGTGTTTAGCGGCCACACGGTACGATTCCTGAATGCAGAAAGGCGAGGTTGACGTATGGACTAGGTGTTTTTGATCCTCTGCGCCATGATCGTGACCACCGTAGGATAACTCGATCTGTCGTCTGCCAAGGTCGTTGACGCGAGAATGCTGCGTAGTACTGCAACACGGACGAGCTCAACACGCCGTTCACGCGCAAGCACTGGTGGACGCTACCACTCGTCAAGTACTCGGTCTGGACCGGGTCCTTCCTTGGCGTCTTTGCCATCGTCGGCACGCGCTTGCACTACACGCTCGACGTGCTCATTGCGATCTACGTGACGATCCAGACGTGGCACACGTACCACTGGCTCGCGGCCGACAACCGCTACAACATTCGGCTCATTTCGTGGCTTGAGCACGACCACGAGGTGCACTCGATTGACCACCACGCGTACCGCATGGCGCGGCGCACGGGCAGCCTCTCGGACTTTGATGTGAAGACGTTCTCACCGCTCTCGCAGTCGCCGCCGAGTTCGCCGACCGCCAAAAAAGATCAATAGACGAACGAGGCAGATGGCATGTGTGTTTGTGTTGAACTCACTGCGTCTTTTTAGCCTCGGTCTTGGCACGCAGCGACGACTCGATCTTGCCCTCGAGCATCTCCTTGATGCCGGGCCACTCGCCGTTGAGTGCGGCGAGCACGGCCGTGTCACGGTTGGCGCCCTTCACGATCATGTGCTTGCGCATTACGCCTTCAAAGGTAAAGCCGAGCGAGTGCGCCGCCTTGCGCGAGCGCACGTTGAAGCCGTCGCAACGCCACTCGATGCGGCGGTACCCCAAGTCAAAGAGCGCACGAAGCAGGAGGTAGACCGACTCGCGGTTGGCACCCGAGCCTTGGGCTGCGGGGCAGTACCACGTCGCGCCGATCTCGACGCGGAGATCCTTGGCCGAGTGGTTGATCAGACACACCATACCGATGGGCTTGTCGGTCGAGGCGTCGAGCTACATGGCGTTAGAAATGATCGCCTCGATGGAGGACGTACGACGACAAAGTGGCGCTGGTTGGGCAGCTCGACGGCGCGGTCCTTCTCAAACGCCTCCAAGCTCGGGAACGGCCCCGTCGTCATGTAGCGCCAAATGAGCGCGTCGGCGTCATAGTCCTTGGTGCCGTAGAACCCGCCAAGGGCCTTCCCGCACGAGATGTCGTACAGGCGGCGCACCATGGCCTTGACGTCCTTGGCGGACCCGCTGTGCAGCGGGCGGAGCTTGACGATGTAGCCGTCGAGCTGAAACGACGGCGGCTTCTCGGGAAACGTCGCCGCCTTCTCGAGGAGCTCGTCGTAGAGCAATGGCTTCTCTTGGTCCATCGACTCGGGCATGCCCACGGCTTCGTGCTGCATGCGGTGGAAGGAGCCGCCGTAGTAGAGCAGCGCAAATACGACAATGAGCGTCGAGCAGAAGACGAGGAAGCCCACAAAGATGCCAAGGTAGGCATACCCGTACACGGGGTCGTCGGCCGGCGCTTGCATGGTTTCGAGTTCTCTTGCGCGAAGTATGCCAATACTTGGACCGAGATTGCACTTTCTACAAGTACGAACTTCGAGGCCCATGTGTGGCCCACAAGAGTGTTGGTGGGGGCTGCTATGGAAGCAGGGCGAAGCGCATTGGAACATGGTGCGAGCACACGAGGCATGTGCAAGCATCGGTGAGATATGAATACCTAGGATATAGCTGAACGAGCCTTTCCGAGGCCTTGGTATGGCGCGTCGACAATAACTCGCATCATCATCATCACCTGCTCGTGACGTAGTAGGAGCTAATGTTGATCGCGATGAAAGCTGCCTAAAAGAACATAGTACCAAGACGAGCGGTGTGGCGTACATTGCAGTGGCTCATGTACATCGACCAATGCACTCGGAAATGTGGCTCTAGAGTACGCACAAATCCTTACCTTATTGGTACTAGCGGTTCGATCGACCCTGGCTTATCGATGCAAGAGCGAGCATGTACACGATATAGTATGCCGAGTACGGAGTCCAAAGTACAGGCAAGTCTAGCACGAACGCATATCAGCCACAGGAAGCTGAGCGTTTTCTTGGCGCCACTCCGATCTTTCGAAGTTCGAAGCCAAGCTACCAGCACTCACGTGGGCCGACGGCCCATAACATGTCGCAATGAGGATGTCGAGAGCTCGTCTCACGCGATGCCTTTCACGAACCAAAGACCTTGGACAGAGTACGCCCCAACGCCTCAAGGATCCACAGCGGCAAGATGGGTGAGGTGTTTCGGGCAACCGTATTTGTGTGCCCGTGCTACCGTACAGCAGCTCAAGGGCATTGCTTTACAAGATTCACTGCAGTCGTCATGTGGAGAATGTTGTGCGGCTGCAACGCAAGGACGGAGTGCAGTACCGGTAGTGTGATAACACGCTTCCATTCTGGCCATCTAGTGCACCATTCTGGCCTCGGCCTTGGCGCGAAGCGCCGACTCAATCTTGCTGCTTGGGAAGTCCATACTTGAGCTAATAGGCTGCTCGACGGCCACAAGCGCTTATGATTACAAGTCGATGCGCTTTTTGGCGACGACTGTCGAAGGAATTGGTAGAAGGCTGCACCACCGTATTGCCCACAGGTGGTGTCCCTTGTATTTCCACTACTACGTAGTTCAAAGAGTACACATAGAACCGAGCTGCAAAGATGCTTTTTGGTTATACAGTACAACCGGTTTGTTAAGATAGCGGAGCTGCAACCCTCAATTGCCTCGTGGCGCCTCTGCGATCTTTCAAAGTTTGACCAGCACTCTTCGCACCGCTGGTGGGCCGGCCGTCGAGGTCATTAACAGACCACAACTAGAAAATTAACAGTGTATAGCCTGTGCAAGGTCCATCGTTTTCGATCGGCCCCCTACAAAAACGGCTCCTGAGGGTCCCCCAATTCGCACGGAAAGAAACGATGAACTCGCTCGACGCGTTCGTCTATGACGTCGAGCCACTGGCCGGCGCATACGCGACGACGCTGGACGAAGATGCGATGCTGGACGACATCATGGCCTTGACGGACAAGGCCTCTCCGGCCTCGGACGAAGCCAGAAGCGACCACTCGGCGGAAGCGGCGCCGGCGAAGCGCACGCGTGTGCGCAAGCGCCAGATCGACGAGCTCAAGTACCTGCGCGAGAAGATGGATGAGTACTCTTCGCAGCTGACCGCGCTACAGCAGCTCAAGGCCGTCGAGTCGCAGAACTCGTCGCCATGGGAAGCCATCTCGCGGCGCCAGGCGCAGGCGCGGTCGCTCGCCGAGGCCGAGAACGCCAAGCTCAAGCTTGCCGTCGAAGAGCAGCTCAAGGTCACGGAAGCCTTGATGCGCATCGTCACCAAGCGCCCGAAGCTCGCCGAGGCCGCGTGCATTGACGACTGGAAGGTGCAAAAGCTGCCGTCCAGCCCGGTGCGTCGGCGGAATGCGATGCGGTCGCTCGTCGACGCCAAGCGCGAAGCCATGGAAGGCGTCTTCGTGCGGAAGCAGATCCAGGACGCCGCTAGCGCGCCCATGGTCTCGGACGTTGTCTACGACGCGGCGACGGACTCGGTTCGGCTCGAGTGCTCGACTGTGCATGAGCTCGCGGTGGACTATCCGACGGCCGTCGAGACGATGTGGGAGATGCACACCATCACCGGCACGCGAACGCTCGCGTCGTCCCAGTACCGGGTACGCTATGGTGCATGCTTATTGCGTTTTCGGACATGGTCGACGATGACGGTCTCTAGTGCTTGGAGACTGTCGATGCAACGACCGTCTACTACCGCCGCAGCTTCACCTTGGGCGCGGCGCCCGTCGAGGGCAACGTTATCTTTGCCCGCTTCAACGAGCCAAACCGGACAGTCTTTGTATCCGAGACTGTCCTCGACGACGAAGCGCATCCATATTCGCCCAACGTTTTTGTCTCGAACGAGACAACGTGGTATGACATACCATGATCGTTCTCGTCTCTAGCTGCTTCTACCATGGGCTCATAGGATGATGCTCGAGAAGACCGACGTTGGGGCGCGTGTTCGCTTCTGCGCGAGCGCCATCATGCCGTGCAAGGCGTCGCGTGACGCGCCGTCGTCGACGTCGCAGCACTACGTGGCGTTTGCCGAGCTCTTGCTCGACTCGTTCAAGAAGAATTTGCACGATATGCAAATGTACGTGCGCGGGCAGGTCGAAGCGCGTCTGGGGCCGCTCGCACCGCAGCACCACTGCCCCATGAACGCACTCGCGACCAAGCTCAAGTCGGTGTGGCGCTTCTAGCCGCTCGTCTTCCCTTTGTTCTGTACTATCTCAATATAAAAACGTGAGTTCTGCCGTGAGGGCCTCGAGCAAGGGAATGAACTATTGTTATATGAGTGAAGTCTGGAAGTAGGTCGTTGGACGACCAACGCCGACGGGTGAAAGCCATTCTCCACGTCTACACGTTGGCTCCCTTTCTGGACGAGCTCCATCGTATTGCTGCTAGCTGTATAGGAAAACCTCATCGCTCCGTTGAGAGGCTGTTGTGCCTTCATGCTGGAAGCGATCGAACGTCACGTGAGAGAGGCCCCACAGCTACCAGAAAAAAAGCCTGCACCAAGGGACGAGCACGGCGTAGCTAATCAGATTAAGGTCATCGACCTACCGCGTGAACGGTTCACGCTGTACTAGTAGGTCGTTGAAAGGCGGTTCACGGTGAAATGATTTGGTCGTTGGCCACCGAAGGCGTCAATCAAGCTACTATGGCTCACGGCGAGGCTGTTGGACGAGCGTAGCTCGCTTTTCCGTCGCCAGTACCGGTAGCAATCCCATTCACGTCTCGGTATTCCGATGTCAAAAGTCAGGGTTCATTTTTGCATTCAGATTCCATTACGTTGTACTTGAGAGCGCTGAAGCGCACGGTACCGCAGCACAACATTGGTGGAGAAGCAGGGTAACATTGGTTCTGTCGAGGACGATGGCAAGCCCAGAGACGCTTCGTAGAGTCATCACATCGTCTCCAATCTGTGCCTGGGATGGACGTAGAGAGGCTACGGTCGACGAGGTGCACGGCGGTCATCTATCTTCGCGGCGAGATCGCGCATCACCGTGTGGACGGTGGTTGGCTTCTTGACCGAGTGAGCAGGGCGTTCTGGACGTGCCATCGTGCTCGGCAGGAGCAATGCTACCTTGCTTGCCACCACTGCGGTGCTGCGGTACCGGACGCTGCAGTCGCGAGCTCTGAAGCACAATGGATTGTGATGCGCTTTCCTGGCCACCCACGAGAAACATGTGTCGTGGGCAGCATCCATTTTCGTGTCACTTGAATCGCCATGGATTCAGTGGACCCAAGCATGTAGCTTGGTTCTAGTGACATCGCATGGAATGGGCTTGCGCTCCTGTGGACAATGCGACGGCGAGGTTCGACAAGGTGCTTTTGTTGAAAGCGCACCTCATTCATGTTTGACGCACCTCCGCTCCAGTTTCAATTCTGCCATGGACATGCATGCTGAGGAGATGCTGGCGCTCGACGACATGGCGTGGGACCTGACCCTGGACCTGCCACCAGCGCGGCCGAAGCGACAGCGCAAGACGTACGCGGAAGAGATAACCGAGCTGCGGGCCAAGGCCGCCCAGTACTCGGAGCAGCTGGCCGCATTGACGCAGCGTCAAGAGGTCGACATTATCTGCGCGACGCCATGGGAGGGCATCTCGCGACGACAGGCCATCGAGCGCAGCGTCGCCGAGCAAGACAATGCGCGCCTGAAGGACGCTGTGCAAGAGCAGCTCACGACCATTCAAACGCTCCTGCGCATCGTGCAGAAGCGACCGAAGCTCATGGACGTCTCGTACGTGGAAGACTGGAAGCTGCAGCGCTTGCCGGCTGACCCAGCGCTGCGGCATCGAAGCTTCCACGCGATGCTAGACGCCGAGTACGAACGCCTCGAGAGCGTCTTTCTTGCCCAGCGACTTTACGACGCGACCGAGACGGGCACACACACGGACGCAGTCGTCGAGAACGATCAGCTCATTCTAACGTGCTCGATGGTCCATACGATCCACGCGGATATACAACTCGTGGCCAAAGCGCTCTGGAGTATCGTTGCGCTGGAGCAGACCGTGACGCTCGAGACGGGCACGCTTCGGGTACGTACGCCACCTTCCGTTGCGACGTGGATTGAAAGGACAAATCGCTTGTAGCCGCTGGAAGGTGTTGGGGACTCGACGTGTTACATGCAGTTCTCGTTGCATTTTCCCACCGACGTTGAGCTCCACGGCAACATGGCGTGGAAACGCTATGACGTCTCGCCAGTTCGCATCGTCTTTACAATGAAGGTCGTCCACGACGATGAAGTCCACCCGTATCCACCCGAGGTCTACATTCCCCAAGAGACAGGCTGGTACATTCGCACAATCGAAAACAAAAAAACAGCAATCTCATCCTTGAGTAGGTTTGAGATTGAGTTGGTGCGCGATGGCGTCACCCGCGTCAAACACTTTAGCCGCGGCCGCGTACCATGCAGAAGCTACCGGGATGCATCCCGCCAACAAGAGAACGGCCTTAGCTTTGCAGCGCTGGCTGACCACGTACTGACGAGCTACCGCAGCAACATCCGAGTGCATCGAACGATGATCGACCAGCGACTTCGCGAGTGGACAGCGACAGATTCGCCCATTTTTGAAGACTAAAATTGGTTGCGATAGGATTGAATCAAGTACAAGTAGAGTAGCGCCACAGTGCATCTCGTGTTGGAAATCGATCCATCCTTTCTCCCTCCTGAAAGCTGCAACGCAGGACACCAGGCTGGTTGCTGAGTCTTTTGGTGGAAATGTTGTCTACCGACAGTCCCAAATATCGCCCTTCGAGTAGCTCCGAGCCAAGTCTGGCTTGCATCATCGTTCACAGAGCATGCCACGTCACTGCAGTGGACATCAGAGTGGACATCGCAGTCAAGATGGGCAGGGAAACGTGATGGACGAGGTGCTCTTTTCGCATAAAGCACCTTTTGTTTGGAAACGCACCAAGTATTGGTTAAGCACACCCACATCTCCATTTTCAGCTCATGGATCCATCGAGAACCGACGACCTCGAGTTAGCATGCGACCCTGACCAGCCAACGCGGCCCAAGAGACAGCGCAAGCGCTACATCGACGAGATCACAGAGCTGCGCGCCAAAGTCTCCGGCTACGCGGAGCAGCTGGCCGCCTTGACGCAGCGCCAAGAGGTCGACATTATCTGCGCAACGCCGTGGGAGGGCATCTCACGGCGACAGGCCATCGAGCGCAGCGTCGCCGAGCAAGACAATGCGCGATTGAAGGACGCCGTTCAAGAGCAGCTGGCCATGATCGAGGCGCTCCTACGCATCGTGCAGAAGCGACCGAAGCTCATGGACATCTCGTACGTTGAAGACTGGAAGCTGCAGCGCTTGCCAGCGGACCCGATCCAGCGTCGCACGAGCTTCCACGCTATGTTGGACGCCGAGTACGAGCGTCTCGAGAGCGTCTTCCTCGCGCAGCGACTTTACGACGTCACAGAGCCCGGTACCCACACGGCAGTCACGTTCGAGACCGACCAGCTCTTGCTCACGTGCACGATGGTGTACTCATTTCACGCAAACGTTCAGCTCGTGGCCAAGGCGTTCTGGACCACCTTTGCGTTCGAGAGGTCGTTGACACTCGAGTCGGGCGCGCTTCTGGTATGGAATTCGTGGTTGCCTGCATCTGATCGTACGCTGCGTAGCCGCTGCCAGGCGTCGACGAGTCGACGTGCTACATGAAGCTATTTCTGCGATTTCCCGGTGACTTTGAGCTGCATGGCAACATTGCTTGCAAGCGCTACGACGAGTCAGACTCGCGCGTCGTCTTCGCGACCAAGTCTGTCCTGGAAGACGAGGTGTACCCGTACCCGCCCGAAGTCTACGTGCCCCAAGAAACGGGCTGGTACGCTCACTGACCTATCGATATTGACACAGAATGAATTCGATTATGTTGTTAGGTTTGTCGTCGAGGCAGTGAGCGCCAACGAGAGCTGCATCAAATATTACAGCCGCGGGCACGTGCCGTGCAAGAGCTACCGCGATGCGTCCTATGCGCGCGATCGCGATCTGAGCTTCTCGGCCCTCGCCGACCTTGTCCTTGTTGGCTACCGCAACAACATTCGGACGCTGAAAGCAGTCATGGATGAGCAGATTGACGAGTGGACATCGCCACTCAGAACGTCACCCGAAACGCTGTTGCCTTGCATGCCATCGGTCCACTAGTCAATTAGGTCGTGTTGACGCGTTATTTAACGTCTTAACATACGACAGGAAGGACCTCCACTATCGACGTAAGTGGGATGTGACCGACCGCGGTGGTGAGGCATTTCGAGTGTGATGGATTATACTCATCGCATGGACTCGAGAGCTTTACACGCGAGCAAACGGCAAGTTGCAAAATACTATATCATCTTTTTACAGGTCTCATTGGATAGTCTTCCACTAAAACATACTAGTAGAAATGAAGAGGTCATACACACAAAAGTCATACATAAAGTACTAGTACACAAACGAAAATGCGCATTGTGCTCGACGACGCCATGTACCCACCCACCTGTACCCGCCCGAAGTCTGCATCCAACTAAAAACGGGCTGATACATTGATACCTAGAAGGATTCTGCATCAACAATTTGTAGCCAATCGGAAGCAGCACTACGTCACGAACCAACGACGCATGCTGCGTCCTTTGACAATATCGCGAGGACTCGACAGCTTCACACGCAAGCAAAAGGCAAGTTGCAAAAGTGTACATCATGAATTTCTTTTTAGGTTCGTAGTCGAGAGGACTGGCGCAAATGAGAGCCGCAGTACGTACTTTGGCCGCAAGAGCTACCGCGACGCTTGCCGCAATACCGACTTCTGCTTCTCGGCACTGGTCGACCATGTGCTTACTGGATACGACAGCAATATTCGGTCGCTGCAAGCGAGGATCGAACGACAGCTACGCTAGTCGGTGGCCCACATACCGACGCCATCGGCTATGTTTTTGGAGCGTAATATATTATGTCACCACATCTGTGCATCAATGTATCCACGCTGCACGCAAGGTATTATCGAGCAACAGACAAACCGGTGTGGGTCGTGCTGTGTACACACTAGCAGTAGGGTTTAGGAGCGAGAGACTCGTCGAACCATCTACTAGATGCTGGCTCCCTCTGAAATTTTCCTCGGACTAGCAGCAAATTTAACAGTCTATGAGGTCTCGCGAGTGGTCAGAGGCCTCGGGACGAAATTTCTGCCGACGCGTCGCTTGATACTTTGATAGACTGAAACCGTGCACGTCAGAATCGAAGCGGCATAGCCATTTTCGACGCTTTGGCAAGCGGGTGGGCGTCCGGCACGTCCCACGTCGTCGGCAGGGATACCGTGAGGATGCGCCACATTTTGATGTCGCAGGCGTACAAGACGCCTCGCCAGCGCAGTGTGAGGATTCCGTTGAGCACGGCCGAGGCGCGATCAAGGTAGTAGACGCCGTTGTAGAGCCATCGGTCGGTCGTATAGAGGTACTTGGCGCCTGCGTACAAGAGGAGTGAGTGGGTCGCACCCGTTGGATCTGCCGCTCGGCGATAGTACCACACCAGCCGCGTCGCGAGATAGCAGAGACCGTTGCAGCTAAAGACTGTGCCGACGAGCGTGATCAGCCGGGTGGGATGCCCGATTTGGAGCGACGCGCTCTCGCACACAAGCTGCCAGTCGAGTTTCTCAATCCTGCACGTCGGAAGGAGCGAGGCCGCGTGTTTGACGGGGTAATGAATACTGAGGACGGCCGCGACAAGCCACACGATCGCCAAATTGAACGTCGCGTAGTAGATCGTGTAGGCTTGCGTCACCGCCATGGCCACGTCATTGACGACGGCGACAAGCCACGTGACTTCGCTCGCGGCGAGCCAAGTGGTATACCACGGGTTGTGCGACGCAGTAAAGCCAGAGATGCGCCCGTCAAAATCCAAGTCCAAAGCACTTGTCGAGAGGAGGCTCATGGCCGTCATACTGCGCAGCAACAAGAGCGGGCGGCCCACCCAGACCATGCCACCGACCGAGTTGAGCGTGGCCATGTTCCAGCCTTCCACGTGGCCATAGCTCCGAAGAATGTACCCCGTCGTGACGGCCGCGAGCCCCAAAAGACAGTACGTGACGTACGTCGTGCCAATGTAGGCGTATCGCGCAGCGCTTTGGGGCAGTTGCCAGCTCAAGGTCGCCTGCGCGACAGGCTCAATGTACTCGGAGAGGAGCGTGAGGGTGCCATTGTCGCCTTGGAACTGAACCACTTGCCGGTGCCCGATCGCCCAGTCAAAGAGCGAACACCAGCCGAAAAAGGCGTAAAAGGGGTCCTCCTCGCTCAGAAGCCGCGCGTGCTCGAGCGTGAGCGTCGTTGACGGCGGTCGTCGTGCATAGGTGACCATACCCACGCCGAGCTGCCATGTGTCTGCGATCGCTTGACTGAGGTTCGGCAGCACCATGGGGGGAATCGCGTCCAGTACCCGCAAGGTATCAGGAAGGTACTGTAAACAGGCCGCGCCATTGATTCTGTCGTGGCCGCAGATGTCTGCGAGGGTGTTATGCGTCATCGCCGAGAGGTTGGTAAGCACGGCGGCTGCCAAGAGCATGTCCGCGGACGGGTACAGCTTGGATGTGATGTCTGTTGGGCACTCGCTCCCGTCCAAAGTGAACGCCATGAGCGTGCCACCGTAAACAGGTTGGTTGATCGTCGGTGGATGTGCCGGGCATAGGATCGAAGCACCAAACTGCATGAGTTTCGCGTCGAGCCAAGACTGCGGCACTGCATGAATCGCATCCACAAGCGTCATGTTGAAGTAGAGGTCTTGCACGTTCTGCTGACGCCGGACTGCGTCACGCACATTGGCCGAGATGCTGCGAATGGTGTCGAGGAGGCTTTTCGGGCACGCAACCAAGTGCATGTCGATAGTGCCAAAGGGCCCGAGGCGCTGCCGGACAAGGTCCAAACCGTTGTCGAGGGGCCACGCGAGGACGCCTTCTTGGACAAGCGTCGCCTCCAACGATGTGTTGGTGTAGAGAAACGATGCATCCGAGCGCAGTAAGCTCGTGCCGTCTGACGACGTGGCATTCACGACCACCGCGTGCAAAAGGTCGTTCGCAAAGCTCCAGTACATTTTGAGTGTCGTCGCCGAATGGCGGCCGTACGTGCCGTTGAGCGACTGGAGCGTAAACGGGTAGGTCACGCCAAGTGCATTGGTGACCGCGTAGCTATTGAGAAGCCCAACGCGCTTGTAATTTTGCCACTGGGTCTCAAAAAGTTGGATGCCGTGGGCGCGCCAGTACGACGCTTCGAGCACCGCCGAGAGATTGCTGCGCGCGTGAAGTGTCGTCGCGAGCCAACTGTGTCCGAGGATCGAGTTGCGCAGCGTACGCCCGATCGTGAGCTCAAACGCGTCGCTCCAGCACGTCGTCCAGCTCGTCAGATGCACGTTTCGAAGCAGCGGCTCCAAGTACACGGCGCCATTGGCTGCCATCGTGTCGCAGCGCGCTTGCCGCGCGTCCGAGATCGCCATCGTCCAATGCCGTTGGAGGTCGAGAAAGCAGTACGGAACAAAGACCCACGGCGCGTCACAGCCGTCGAGGCCGCGCATGCCATGCACAATGGCGACGAGCGACGTTCGCAGGCGTTGCTGCGTCATGGCGCCGGCCAGTGGCGACACGTGGAGGAACGGCGGGTCTCTTGTGAACGATCCGTCCCAATTGACGTGTGGCGCGTCCAGGGCAAGATGCGCGTGCGTGTTTTCAAGCAGAAACTGATGGTTGATCCACGTCGCCAGAAACGCATGGGGCCCCGAGAGGTTGAAGCCGGCCCAGAGCATGTCGTTGGCCAACGTGACGTTGGAGACCGCGAGGTACGAGACGCTGCCAGCAATAGAAAAGCACATGTAGACAAGACCCAAGAGCACCGAGAGGCGATCGAAGCCGACGCGGATGGGCGTTAAAGTCAAGTACGGCGACGCCGAGGTGGTTGCGAGCGCCGCCTTGTCGGTGGTCTCGCTCGACGAGGACGACAATACCCTCCAGAGTTTCAAATCAAATACATAGCGTTGGCCTCGACACCACAGCGGCACGAGACCGCACATGGCACTCGACGCGTCGTCAAGGCGCCACGTGTCCGAGTGCACTGTCGGAATCGGGTGCAGAAAGGCGGTGGCGGCGCCGGATACCATGACGTGGCACGACGAGAGCGCCGAGGCGCTTCTCCGTCGACAGGAGCCAACATAGGCCAACGTAAGCGCAATCAGAACGGACGTGACCTGGACGCCGTAGAGAAGGAACATCCGAGACGAATCGCCAATAGAGATGGTGCCCGATGCACACTCGATCGCGTAGTCCATGTCGTGGCTGCGACACGTGCGGTTGAAGTTGGCAGCGGTCGCGACCGGTGCCGCGCTCTCGAGTGCAAACGTTGCCGTCAGCGCCAGTAGCGAAGCGATGGGTGCGTACACGGATGCCAAGGCCGGTGTCATCAAGAGAAAGATGTCATTGAGCATCGTGGCGACCCACGCCGCCTCGCTGCAGAGAACGAGGCGGGTGAGGACCGGGCGCGGCACCAAGACAAGCTGTGACGACGTCGTGCTGTTCGCCAGCAGCTCCATGGGCGACGTACTGAGCACGAGAATCGCCGTGGACCCGCGGGCAAACAGCAGCGGGCGGCCCACCCAACTCGCGCCGGCGACGGCGTTGAAGTAGGCGAGGTTCCGTCCCACGATATGAAACTGAATCGTCGCGCCGTAGAGAAAAGTGAGCAACCCGACACTAGCGAGTGTGATGCTGACGTAGGCCGAGAGGTAGAGCGCCAGCTTCGTCGTCGCCTCGAGGTATTGCCCGTCACCACTCGTCGCCATGACGCGGGGTGTGTACCGGTTGGAAATGAGGTGCAATGTCCTTACATCGCCTTCAAACGACACGACTTCGCGGCGACCAATGACCCAATCGTAGATACACAGCCAGCCATAGACCGACCAAGATGTGTCGTCCAGAAGCGGCTGCTGTAGCAGCGTCCACTCGGGGCTCTTCGCAAACTGAATGAGGCGCAGGTCAAGCGCTTTAACGGTCGCTACCGCGTCTGGTATAGTGCGCACGAGGTCTGGCGGCAGTGGCGACAGCGCGGTCACGCTCGCAGACGCCTTGTTGAGTGCGGGCAGGCAAGCGCTCGACGATTGGAGACGGCAGACGTCGGATGCGTCGGAGCTTAACGGCACACCGTACAAAAGTTGTGCAAACACGAGCATCGATGCATCGTACCCGACGCGGAAGGCCGACGGAAAGAGACATGGGTCGTCAAAATCAAAGGGTGATTGGACATAGCTCGTGCCAGTGTTGTGAAGACAAAGGAGGCTACCCCCATACAAGCGCGTTTGGTTGCGCCACGCGGGGGGGCGGGGGGTCAAGGCGCCGGAGGTCGTCAAGGACAGAACACCGGGTGGCTGCTTTGCCAGATACGCATCCAGTGCATTGAAGAACGCAAGCAGCGATGCCGGCACGGGCACATAAATCGTATCAAACGACAAGAACGGCCCGAGGGTTGCATGTACGACGCCAGCACGGCCATCGTATGTGCCATTCACATTCGCCAGTGCCGCGTGCGACTCGAAAGCAAAGAATTTGGGGTCGTAAAAGTTGGTGGCACCGCGGATCGCACTGGCGCCGACTTGCTGCAGGACATAGACGTCGTCCAACGGAATCCACATGTAGATCCACGACGACCATGGTCCGTTCTCACGCGGCCAATGTTTGAGTGTCACGGTATGCTGCGTACCGAGCGCACTCTGGACGTTCATGGTCTCGGAGATACTCGCCTGCCACCGGTTTTGCCACGCGAGCTCAAAGGATGTGACGTTAAACGACGTCCAGAACGCAACTTCGTCTGCCATCGAGAGGGTGTTGGTCGATGTTGTCGCGAGCCAGTGGCGACCGGCGGCCGACAACTGCAGCGTTGCTTCCAGCGTCACGGTAAAATAACCCGTGGGTCCGCCCCAGACGCTCATAAAGGCGTCCCACTGGACGTTGCGCAGAATGGATTCGTAGTAAACAGCCCCGTTCGAGGCGTACAAACGGCGACAGCGCGCTTGACGCGCGAGCGTATGTGCCACCTCGAATGTTTGGTTGAAGTCGACCCAGCAAAACTGCGTGCTCATGCGAAAGACCCACTCGGGCCGCGTGCTCCGAAGATTGGAAATCGCGTGTGGCACCGACGTGAGCTCCGAGTAGATGAGTCGCCGAACGTACGTCGGTGCGATCGATGTGAACGAGACGGGCGCGGCGTAGCTCTTGCGCTGCATCGCGCGTGGCGCCAAAAGATCCCAGTGGCCTGTGGCTGTCGTTAGGAGCGCGGCATTTGCAGCGTCCAC